TATATATATATATATATATATATATATATATATATATATATATATATATATTATAATAATAATTATATTTAAAATTTATTTATAATAAAAAAATTATATAATATTTTATTTTATTATGTATCTATTTCTATAAATTAATATTTTTTTTTAATTTTTGTATACTTTTTTTTTTTTTTTCTAATATTTTAATTTTTGTATTATATTTTTTTAAAAATTTTAATAAAAATACATGTATTTAAAAAAATATTATTTAATATAAAAAATAGTAGAATATATTAAAAAGGATAAGCTAAATTTTATTTTTTATAATTTTTACATCATGTGTGTGTAATTAATAAAATTACTTTAAGAGATAATAAATTTTTTGAAATATATGATCAATAATTCAACTTATTTGTATAAATTTCGTTTTATTAAAAATTAGTAATCAATTTTAGTAAATTTCTAGTCAGATTCTTAATAACAAAAAGAAAACAAATTAAACATATATTTTATTTAAAATATGAATATTAAGCCAAAAATTTATTATTAAAAATATATTAATTAATTAAAACGAATTTTCAGAGTAAAATCAATTATAAATAGATAGTAATAATCAATTTTTATTAAAAAAAATTTGTTATTTAATTTATATCAGGATTTATTTAATTTTAATTATGGAAACTCTACTTTATAATATGTTTTAATATTGTTAAATAGATATCGATTCGTTATCTTTTATTAATAAACAAAATAATAAATTTTAATAATCATTAAATTTGTTTTTCTGTATATTATATAATAATATATAAAAAATTAAATTTATTTATGTAATTCTATGTTATAATTCATTAAAATAATTTATGATTAAATTATATTACTTAAAATTTTTTATTTGATATTAAAACAAAAATTATAAATTTAAAAAAATTTAAAATAAATTTTTAAAAAACTTTTAAAACATTTAAATAAAAAATCTTAAATCATATTTATTGAATAAAATCTAATAATACAATTAAAATAATTATTTTATATTTTTTTTAGTGTTTATATAAATAAATATTCAAAAAAAAAAATTAAAAATAATTATTATAAAAAATATCCACATATATTATAAAAAACCTTTTTTTCATTAAAAAAAATAATCACATTTTTATATAATAAAAAAAATATAAATAAAATAAAATGGATCAAATTTTAGAAGGAAAAATCCTTCAAGAAATAAAAAATACGACTTATTTTAGATTACTAAACAACACTAGAACTAAAATAAATGAAGGAACTTTATAAATATGTATTCTTCCTGACAATGATCTTACATACCTAAAATTAGACGATTTTTATTATACTTTACAAAAACAAATAAAATGTATATCCTTTTAATTCCAAAATTACAAAACCTATATTTTCCCTCATACAAAAGATGGATTTAATGCTCTATGTATTTTCTAAAATGAATTAGTAATTTAGCAATTAGAAATAATTCTTTAAAATACTGTCACATTTATCGAAAAAGTAGATTTGCATATACTAGATGAACAAGATAAAAACTTAATAAATACCCATTGTGTTGATATATTTGATAACCCTTTAATGACTGAAGACAAAACTATTTATTATATCAAAAAAGGAGGTGAAGTTTTAAAAGATGCATTTTAATGGGTAGGATCTATTACATCTAAAGGAGTAAATATCGCTGGAAACTATTTGAACGAAAAAATTTCTAAAAATAAAGTCGAAGTCTCATAAGAAACTTAACAAAAATACATTCAAATAAAAAACACGGCGTAATAAACATTTAAAGTTACAGGAGAATTTTTATAAAGTATGTTAAATCCAGTAGTATAAGCAACAAATTAATAATTAGATAGTATAATATATATATATATATATATATATATATATATATATATATATATATATTAAAAAAAATAAAAATAAAAATAAAAATAATAATAGAAATTAATAAAAATATTGATAATAGTGATAATCAAATTTTAAAAAAAATAAAAAATATTGGAAGTGCTACTATAGATGCAACAAGTAATGCTTTTGATGGATTGAGTTAAGGAGCTTCATAGGTTGGAGATACACTGGGACAAAACACTAGAAATATTGCAGAAAAAAAATTAGGGGAGGAGACTTCTAATACTTTATTAGGAGAAACTAAAAAATGATTTTTTTTTTATTTTAAAAATTATTATTTTTTTCATAAAAAATTTATTATTATCCATAACAAATAATATTATATCTTAAAAAAAAAATCGTTTATTTAAATTTTAATAAATTTTTCTGTTTTTACAAGTTTTTTTTAAATAAGTTTTTCATATTTTAAAATTAAATTAATTATATAGAGAATGTTTAAAATTATCATACTTTTAAGATGAAAATAAATTATTTATGAATTAGATTTAAATTTATAATATATGGATATATATAGCTACTTAAATATTATATTTATTTATTAATTATTTAAAAATAATATAATTTACTTATATATTTCTTAAATAAAAATATTTTTATTATATTATTAATATTAAAAATCATATTTTAAAAATAAAATATTTAAATAATATAGTTATCTAAATTTTTACATTTAAAAGAAAATCATAAAACTATGAAAAATAAACAATTAATTGGTTGGTTTTTGCTTAAATTATATAAATTATTTTCTTTTTTTAAAGAAATATAATAAGTTTTTTAAAATCTAATAAAATAATACTATATATTTAAGTTTGATGCTTAAAATTATATATATAATTAGTTAAATATAATATATAAATTTTACATGCAATAAATAATATAAATTATTTATAAATAATTTTAAAATTTTTTATATTAACAATCGAATAATGTAAGAATATTTTTCATTATAGAGGGTTTTTATAAACAACGTTTTAAAGTTATAATAGTTTTATTGAATTGCAATCAAATTTAATATTAACCATAATTTAATTTTATATTATCAATTAAATTTTTAAAATAATTTAACGAAATTTTTCTTTTCCTCCTAAAGTTATCTATTAACTTATTATAATAATCAAGTTTATTTAAAAATATATTTACTTTTATTTTTCTAACATCTATCTATTATTTAAATACTTATAAGAGCTTTATAAAATTATATTATAATTTATTTCTATATTACAATGAAGTAATTTATTATTCTTAGAAAGATTTATCAAACTCTTTAATAAAATTTTCAAGTAAAAATCCATAATAAATATTTTTTTAAATTGTATTTTTAAATATAGTTCTTTTTATTTCTTTTAAAAAAGAAAATTTTTTTAATCATTATATTATTTATATTATTGCTAAATATATTAACATTAAAATAAATATATATAATTTATATAAAGCTTTATTATCTTTATTCAATAATTTTTTATATTTGATTTATAATTAAAAGCATATTTTAAGTTTTGCATTTTCAATTTTGGAAAATAAGGATTTTCAAAATACTATTATAAATTCTAATTACTAAAAAGTTTTATACAAAATGAATAATTTTTAGATTTAAAAAAATTAAATATATATGTAATTTTTAATTAATATATGTATTGAAATATTTTAAAATTATTATATTTATATTTTTTATTTCTATAACTATTTTTAAACGAAAAAAATTATTTAGATTAAAATAAAAAATAATAATTTATTTTTATGTTATAATAATTTTTATTTTAAAAATTAAGATAATCAAAAAGCTACTAATGATTATTAGCATTATTATAATTCAATATGTTCTTAAAGATCTTCATAAAGTTATATGTTTAATTATCCACGTTCTTATAATTTTAAATTTTCAGTTTTAATAAGGAATCTATATTTTCTTCCAGCAACAACTTATATTTCAATTTTTGATAAACTTTTTTTAAATCCTGGTGGAGCAGGACATAATTTTAATGCTATTTATACAATATCGGAGTTAACCCATTATCTATTACTTTGTCTAATCCATCCTCCTAAATTATATTGTTATTCTTTTTCAGTTGTAGAACATATAATAGCGACAAATAATAGAGACAATAAAACAATAAATTTCATTTTTTTTATTAAAATATTTTTACTTTATTTATTATTTTATATATTTTTAATTATAAAAAAGTAAATTAAATTAAAAAAAAAATATGTTTTTAAAATTAATTAATTTTTAAAACGTAAAAAAAAATTTTAAAACGAACTTAAATAAAAAGTATATTAATTAATATCATAAAAGTACATACGACAAAAATAAAGTGTTAAAATTAAGATAAAAAAATATGATTTATATTATATAAAATAAAAAAAAAAAAAATTAAGAAAATAATTATATATATATATTATATTTAAATTTT